AAAAAGGAAGAAACCAGGTACTATTTAGGTTGTTGAAGAACTTTGAGGAGGGAGATAAATGGGTAAAAATGCAAGAGGTGACATGGCCTTAATTATGATTTTAAAAATGGTAGATGTAGCAGTGGTTGGTTAAAAAGAAAGAAAGAGGTGACAAGGTTGTCTTGATAAGCAAGTAGGAAGAAGCTTTTACCAACATGGTCAAGTGGTAATCATAATCACAATGACCTCCACTTTCCATATTCTATTCTATTCTAAACATCATCACCTGCATGCCTCAGAGAAAGAAAGAAGGTGCAATTTCCAATCTTTTTTTCTCCTTTTCCTTATTTTGGTTATCATGCTTCTACCTTTTGCAAATTTTCTCTTCTTATTTACTCCCGTGAGTGCCGCAGATCAGTTCCTCTATCTACCTTGGAAGCATATAATAAGGTATAGTAATTTAGATATAATAGTATCTTAATAGAAGAACTCATATATACTATATATCTATTGGTAATGGAACATGTTTTAATCGTGAAGTGATCTACATCATTGGAGATGAATAATTTTGAACATCACCAAAAATATGTAGTAATAAGGAGTCATTCTTAAGATAGAAAAAAAATAAAGAATAAAAGCTTTCTGGTTGAGAATGAACCAAAAAGAAGTAAGTAGAGTGAGCTTTATGTATGCAACTAATCATTTGCATTAGAGGCAATAAGATTTTTTTTGGTAGTGGTTCAACAAACCAAGCACAAGAATTTCAAAACTGAATTTTGGACAAAATTTAGAAAAACTTGTTGAAGATCCACCTTTAGAATTAGGTCCCCCAAACATCGAATATTCGAAGCTGTGAGTTGCTGCCACTTCAACACTAAAGGAGCTTTATTCTTGGTTTCACATTCTTGTCACATTTCCCAACCATATGATCCATTTCTTATTTGTTTTCAGAGCTTAATTATTTAAATGTATTAATTAGAGTTTAACCATATGAGCCAATCTTCTTATTTTTATTTCATTTTTTTAATCATTATACATAAACAACCTAAAATTAAAATGAATAACTTTTAATTGTTTCACTATCTTCAAGAAACATTTTTCTTAGTTCTTTTTTCTTTCTCTTTTAAAAGTTCTGTCCATAAAAGACTCGCGTAAAATTTATTCTTGCGTCGTCTGTTATTCAGTTTACTAAAATGATTTAGATTTTACCTTGAAGGATTCCACAGAATCTTCATTCATGACTTTTTTCAAAGAAGTGTAACCTAATTAGAAAAGAAAATAAAGTACAGTGTTTAAAATAGACATTCTCACTCTTTTTTGTTAGTTAGCACAAATCTCATTTTTCTTTTAACCTACTAAACATGTTTATTGAATTATAAGTTAAAAAAAAACACAAATATGAAAGGAATGAAGAACAATACAAGAACAATGAACGTTATCATATAAAAATAAAAGTGTGCACTCAACTAGTATCATCACCATACTAAATATATTGTCTAAAAAATTTCGTGATTTAATTTTCATGCATATGTATTAAGAATGAATATGACTCAATCCAATATGTTAATTTGGTTATTTTTAAAATTGATTTAGACAAATTTAAATTTTAAATTTGAGATCGATACATTTTTAAGATGGATTTAAATTATATTTTAAACCATTCAATGTAATATGATATATAATATTTTCTTAAAAAATATAATTTTTATTGAATTAATACACAATAAAGATTTAATTAGTTGATGATATTTTTTTTATAATATTATATTTATAATAAAATTATTTATTTTAAAAATATATATTATAAAATATATCTTAATTTAAGTTTTACACTTCTTTTAATTTATAATTTAATTATATATATTGTTAAAATTAATATAATATATCAAAATTTAGTTGACCCGATTTTATTTTATATATCATATTTTATATGTATGTTAAAATTAATATATATATATATTTTATTTTTTATTTTTTTTATTTTATATGTTTTTGTAGATTTGTCAAATTGAATTTGAATTTTAAAAAATAGTTCAATAAAAAAATTGAGTTGAATTTGATAAAAATGAACCTGACCTAATTTAACCCATATTAACCCATAATATATTGAGGGATTTGATCAACTTAACCTCCCATAACTTAAATTACATTTTTCCTAACATCATCCAAATTAGCTTTCACATTCTGAAATTCAAATTTAATTTCATCCCCTCATACGAAACTATTATCAACACAAAATTGTTTCAATCCCAATTTCCATGTTTATGAGCAAATGAGCACAAAACATTTCATCATCCTCCCACCAACGGCGAAACCTAAGTATTTTAAACTGGCATTTACGTAAATGATGAGCAAACACCAATTTATTCTTTCACTCACTTCCAGGATACACTTTTTGCTTCTTTCATGTCTTTGACACAAGTTCGCCAATTCATTATCTGTCATATTCTATATTCCTAAAAATTTTCCTAATTCACCAATTAATTATATACAAATATACTAAATATTTTACATAAAAATAGACAAATAATTAAAAAAATATATGACAGATAATCTCATTATTTTATATATAATATGCTTACCTACATAATGAAAATTGAACACAAATCTTTATACAATGTAAAAAATTTATATATGAATATGCTCACTCATAGAATGAAAATTCAACATAAATTATCATACATGTAATTCTAATTAAACATTACTATAGGCTAGTCCTAATGGTTACATCCTTTTCTACTTATTAGCAAAGAGAAATAATGTAAAAAAGTAATGTAATTAGAATGAAGTGATAGTAAGTAATTAAGATTGTTTATGGAAAGAGAAAGGGTGGGGAGTGGGGACGTGACGCAGAGGAAATATTATTGGCTTTAGCTTTAATGGAGGTGGCATGGTCCCATGCAATGCATGAATGCACCATTCAACTGCAAAGCATGAAATGAAACCAACATGACTCTTCATTCTTGCTTGCTAGTTCTGTTTATTTGACAGACAGGTCAAATAAAAGCAACCTTCACGCAATCAGATCATATGCTATCACTTTATATACATTCTCACACTTTGCACTCTGCTTTCCTTTCCTCACTAAATTCTTATATATTACTTAATTCTAATCGATTTTCACATGAAATATATTATTATTTTTTACAAATTTTAAAACATAATCATGTGTTAATAAATTTTGATTAAGTGTAATGATTTTGAACAATGTAATAATTAATTTCTCACTTTCGGTCGGTCACCACTCTTGACGTGGATAGTTAAAATTTAAGCTTTTAGACTCACCAACCAAAAAAATTTACTGGTAATTTTTAAAAAGAAATAAAATATATATTAAAAAAAGTCTAACACATACTATTCTTATTTAAAGAAAAAAATTGTCTCTCAAAATTTACTTTAGACTTTACTTATTAAGTTGGTCTTGAACTTGAGCATCCTTATATATTTATAAAATTTCCTGGAAATTGATCTAGTAGTGCCAAATTAAAATAAATGTATGAGAAGTTAAATTTGACTTTCGTCATTACCATTAGAGTCTTTATTTGTTCATAGAAAAAATCTTTATATATTTGTGAGTAATGATTTTTGAGTACACTAATTTTCTATACATCTAATTATAATACTTATTATTTCCATTTATTTTTCATATCATATATGTTCTATATTTTTTTTCTCTCTTTTATCTATCCAGATGTCAAATAAGATTTTAGGTGTTGAAAAATAATTTTTCCATATTTCATTTCGTTTCAATCTCTGTCTCTGCTGTCTGCAATTAAAAACTGTACTACTGTTGATGCTTCTTTTCATGACTCACGTGTTTGTCAAAATCAGAGGTTGGATGCGTTTACGCTGCTATTTTAGAATTATATTACTACAACAAAATAAATTTTTAATGGGCATTTAATATAATTATTAGTGCCAATAAAAATTATTGTAAAACTTTTTATTAACATTTTTACATTAGTCATTGTATATAGTGTCGCTAAAATATTTAGTGATAATTATTCTAAATACTAGTAAAAATCTTTATAATAATTGAAAAAAGTGTATAACTTTTTATGACATTTTTTACGTTTTCTAGTTGATATGAGACTTGTAAGATGAATATTGTCTTCTACTTATATATTTTTTTAATTATCTTATCAATAGTCAGTCCTCTCAAGTTTAGAGACTATTGAGATTGATAATGGTGAGTAATCTCATACTAACTTAAAATAGTAAGTTATAGGTCTAACTCAACCCTACAAAATAAACTTGTAAGGTGAGAGTTATTATCCCTTTATATACTCTTTGATTATCTTATTTTTAGTCGATGTAAGACTAATTTTTTTTTAATAAATAATTATCGCTAATAATAAATTTTAGTATGATATAAATATATTTTTAATGACAATTATATATTAATCATTAATATTTTTATTAAATAATAAAATAAAAATAATTAATTTATTGTCGTTAAATAAATGTTGATAATAATAAATTTTGTTGTAGTATATATTATTTCATTAAAGAAAATGGCATTCATGATACTTTTCACAAGTATTTTTAACGAGTTTAATTCATGTTACATTGTAAAAAAAATATTATCAACCATAATTATCATTAGCATGACTTTTAAAGTGTAAAAAATTATAATAATTTATAAGCTACTTTAATTATTTTATAATTTAATTAATAAATTTATTTTGTACAGTAATTGAAAGTGTTCAAAGCCATACCCATTAGGTGAATTTAATATTTTTTTACCATTAACTATGAATGCTTGAAAACACTTGTCTCGCGTCTCAACGTGTATGAAAATCATAACATGCATTGATTTCAATTATTATGAAAATAAATTTTGATGAAGGGTGTTTGAAAAAAACAAAAGTGGGGGGAAGGAGTGAATGACCATAAGAAACACACAGTGATCTAAATCACCACATTTCACTGTACTTTCACTCTCTCCCCAAAGTTTGAGGTGTCCAAACAGAACAAAATTAATAATATCTACAAAAAATAAAAAACGTTCCTACTTTTTATACAACAATAGAAGCACCATTCACTCACACACACAACAACACACCTAGTTGCTAAGCTTTTTGTGTTCTGCAACTGAAAGTGAAGGAAACCAAGTCATGTATTCTCTTTGGAGTTCCATTGCAATGTGTGTAGCACTTCTACTCCTTCAGTTTGGCACTGTACACCCCTCACCCTCTCACCTTAGGATCAATCGCTTACCGGGTCAACCCCATGTTGAATTTCATCAGTTTTCAGGCTATATAACCGTTGATGGCAAAAACCAGCGAGCACTCTTTTTCTACTTCGCTGAAGCTGAAAAAGATGCACTTTCCAAGCCCCTTGTTCTTTGGCTCAATGGAGGTGCTCCTCAATTCTTGTTCGTTAATAGAAGTTTTAAAGTTTGGATTTTGGAAACTTATGCTTTGTGTTGTGTCATGTTCCTTTGAAGGGCCTGGTTGTTCTTCTCTTGGAGTTGGTGCATTTTCAGAGAATGGACCATTTAGGCCCAAAGGAGAGGCCTTGGTTAGGAATCAATTCAGCTGGAACAGAGGTACCTTCCTGAAACAACCTTTGTCTACACATATGTATTGATTTATATTTACAGGGTATTGAAGTGGTTTTACTTTTAGCATAGCTATGGCATGCTTATTGGCATTGTGCACATATGAATTGCAGAAGCAAATATGTTGTATTTGGAAACGCCAATTGGAGTTGGATTCTCTTACTCAACTGACACTTCCTCTTATGAGGGTGTGAATGACAAGATTACAGGCAAGTTTTTATTGTTTACCCTTCTATTTGTCATCAATAACCTTTTTGTCCCCCCTTAGAATAATTCTCAATATTATTGGTTAGAATGGTGTAATTAAAGAACCATTACATGCAAGTATTTTCAGTTTTTCACTATGCTAAAGAAAGAATTTACTCAAGGAAAATCCGGGTCAACTTTCTTTCGTTATTTATTTCTTCATTCCCCCCTTGTTAGTTCTCACTATCCCCCTTTTGCTTTTGTTGTTTGTTATCTTTACCTTTTTACAAATTTCTGTCCTGTCCCTTTTGGCCAAAGTTTCTAATTAACATAATGTTATTTAACAAACTGCTATTTTACTTTACAGTTATGCCTTGTCCACTTCCTAAACAGTGTTGTTTTTCTTTACAAATTTGACAGATATGCTCCTTTAAAGATTGCCTTGGTTTTCTGAAACTCTTTGTCTTTCTCTTTATAGCCAGGGATAACTTGGTGTTCTTGCAAAACTGGTTTGTCAAGTTCCCAGAATACAGAAACAGAAGTTTGTTCATTGTAGGAGAAAGCTATGCAGGTAACCCTTCCACTTCCACCTATTATGTCTTCCATGTATGTTGAAGCATTAGTTAAAATATGCATATATTTATATATTTTTTCTATTCATTATTAGGCCATTATGTTCCTCAACTGGCTGAGCTTATGCTCCGATTCAACAAAAAGGAGAAGTTATTCAATTTAAAAGGCGTTGCTGTGAGTTATAGCACAAACTTCCAATTATTCTTCTTTTCTTATTCCTGCCACGTGTCAGCTTTCTTTTATTCTTCTGATATCTATAAATATCTAGTGAAAACTACAAAACAAAAAAGTTTACATAAAAATTCCCTAAATTTGCAATTTGACTAAGGCATTTGAAACTAGTTTCCTCTGTTGCAGCTTGGTAATCCAGTTCTAGAATTTGCAACAGATTTCAATTCCAGAGCTGAGTTCTTCTGGTCACATGGATTAATTTCAGACACAACGTTCAAAATGTTCACTTCTGTTTGTAACTATTCAAGATATGTGAGGGAATACTATAATGGTGCTGTTTCTCCTATCTGTTCAAGTGTTATGAACCAAGTTAGTACAGAAACAAGTAGATTTGTTGACAAGTATGATGTGACCCTTGATGTTTGTTTATCTTCTGTGTTTTCACAAACTAAAGTCCTCAATCCCCAGGTGAGTTTATCTTATTGCTCATTTTTTATTGTATTTGGCATGACATCAAAAAAGGTATAAACTAGTTTGATTTATGCAAACTTATTTTAGTAGCTTCTTATTTTTATAAGTTACTTTAACTAGCTTATGAAAATAATTTCAACTTCTAACTTATAACTATAAGCTTCAGCCGACTTATAAACTAGTTTTGCTAAACACGCCCTTTAATTCAAGTCACTGACATCTTAATTTTCTATCTAACTTCAATATAAGTACTGAGAGCATGAAATTGTGGTCTTGTTTTTGTTATGACACACAGCAAGTCACTGAAACTATAGATGTGTGCGTGGAAGATGAAACAGTGAATTATCTGAACAGGAAAGATGTGCAGTCAGCTTTACATGCACGTCTTGTTGGAGTTCAAAGATGGTCTGCTTGCAGCAAGTAAATTCTCTCTATCCTTCATTTATATTGTGTTGTGCTTATTAGAACCAAGGAAAACATGTTCAGAAACTAATGTAGTTAAACATATATTTTAATGTGCTATTTGGACTCTTGGACAGAAACATCAAACATGTATAAGCTTTATATTTTATTTACAAAATTTTCATCTCTATCTTTCATTCCCAACAGCTTTGTCTCTTGTTAACGCGAATGTTATGCTATATTCGTCAGTGTGCTGGATTATGAGCTGGGTGACTTGGAGATACCAACAATCACGGTTGTGGGGAAGCTTGTCAAGGAGGGAATACCAGTATTGGTTTACAGGTACATGTTTGCATGCTTATGAAGTGAAAAATTCTATTTTAGACCTGTTCTGATATAGAACTTAAGGGTAGTCCTAGCCAGAGCACAAGTATGTGGCAACAAGTAAAAACTTATGTTTGCTTAGCCCTGCCAAATGAGAATTTGAAGTGGTGTATAATTGGCTTTCAGAATGATTGATACAATTCTTGTTTTGCAGTGGTGATCAGGATTCAGTTATCCCTCTAACTGGAAGTAGAACATTAGTACATAAACTGTCAAAAGAACTAGGGTTGAAGACCACTGTGCCATACAGGGTGTGGTTTGAGAGGCAGCAGGTGAACCTTGTTCCGTTGAGATTACTAAATTCTATTGAATTTAGTGCAAATATTTGTATATGTTCAATCAATCAGAATCATGATAAGAATGATTTTAAAGTAGTTATCATAAGAATTAAAAAACTTATCATAAGTAACAATTTGTGATTGAATGACTGTAAATATTAATGCATATACTATTTACTCACTGAATTTTTGTTGAGCTTATGAAATATAAATGGTTGTTTTCAGGTGGGTGGGTGGACTCAAGTTTATGGTAACATCCTTTCATTTGCCACTATCAGGGGAGCATCACATGAGGCTCCATTTTCACAGCCTGAGAGATCACTTGTGCTATTCAAGTCCTTCTTAGAAGGACGCCCTCTACCACAAGAGTTTTGATATGTATATGTTATGTTGAGGGGTGTCTGAATTCGTTGCACTTTTAATCCATTGTGCCCATTTTCAAGTGTAGAAAATTTTGTAAAGAAGGGAGGGAATGTGTTTTTGTTTTTCTTCTTGGTTGCTGTTGCTGTACCTTCTTGTGTACTTTTATTATTTATAAAGCTGCATTATGTAACTAGCAGTTACTCTTATTTAATATATCTGTTATAGGTATAGTTGTGAAGTAAGATATGATTATTAAATAGGGATATATCATATATCATATATGTAAAAAAAATAAATAATAATAAACTTGAAATTTATAAAACAATAAAAAAGAAAGACTAAAACATTAGTAGTTGTTTTGGACTGGAGGAGTAACAGTGGAATAATGTTCTATTATGTGTTTATTTTTCATGTAAATTTTGGAAAGCTACGTCTAGAAAAAAGGGAGAGAACGAGAATGAATAAGTGAATCTAATTCAGGAGCAAGTACTTGTAACACACGTGTTTCAGTACTGGCTAAGCTTCATATACACTCTATCTTGTACCTGTACGGATATTGGACACAAATATGGCATCATACGTAATATAATACTTTTTTCATTGAAAATAACAAATATGTGCATGATAATATATTTTAAATGAATAATTTTAATTTTTCTCGATTTTTCTTTATATATATATATATAACTTTGTTATTTTTGTGATGTTTCTCGTCTTTAATCTCGTACAAAATTTATTGAAAAGAAATATTATGGTAGCATAGAAATAAGTGTTATAATTCAAATTATGATAATAAGCTTGTCCGTGTCTAATGAAAACATGTACATAAAATGTTAATATATAATATACAAATTTTAATACAGGGTTAGTCATATAATATGCTTATTGGTACAAGGATACTATAAAGATAGACCGTTAATTTTACCAGTGCTATTATATATATATATATATATATATATATA